AGGGGTCCAAGATTATCTTCTGTGTCTGTGTTAATTGGTTTCCCTTTTCTTTGTTGAAGAGGGTCTGTGCAATCCTTCTGCCTAGTCCGCCATCTTGCCCTGCCTCTTGTTCATAATTTTTGAAGCCAGATAATAAAGAATCCATCTATCTTGACCAACACAGTGTTTTATTAAAGCTTTTGACCTCTGCCATCTGATAGGCAAATAGTATTTTGTTGAAATTCTTACCTTTCTTAGGGGTTTTATTTTGATTTTTAATTTTGTTGTTTACTCATTTGTTCCTGAGCATATATAATGTCTTGTATGCCCAGTGCTATGCCAAACGGCATAGAAATAGCCTATTTTTCCAATAAATTACAATTCACATGGACATATTCCCACACTAGAAATGCAGAGGAGCTCAACTATTACAAGCTCAAAGTGAATATCTGGACATTTACACCATAATGCTGTGTATTTAAGAAAATGAGAACATAATGTGAAAGTTGGAATCAATACATTATGGGCTGTGCTTATGTTTCTTGTTGTTGGCATATTTATCTGCTACTTAAGTTTTCTTCATATTCCTCTTTACTTGACATCATTTTTATAGACCAAATCTCACATAAATTAAATAAGCAATAATGAAGACAAAATGATGGAATTGATGTTACAGTATCATCTAAAGTCAGTGTGTTCTATAATCAGTGGGATTAAAATTTTGGGAAAGAAGAATGTGGTTAAAATATTAAGTAGCTACTGATTATATAATTGCTATGTAAATATAAAAATTCTATAATAAAATGTATCATTTTTCTCTCTAGATTAGCCAATAAGCAAGACAAGGAAGGGGCTTTAGGAGAAGCTGATGTGATTGAATGTCTATCTTTGGAAAAACTGGTCAATGAACACAAATGCCTATGTCAAATAGTGAGTTTTTTTTCCCTCTGTCATCTGAAATATGTTCACTGTTATTTAGTTTATGAAAAATGATAGACAATTAGAAAATAGTTTTTTTAAGCAATTTTTTTTTTCTTACCCAGAAAATCCACTCTCACTGTTGTATTATTTAATATTATAATATTTTTTTTATGTTTAATAGTCACTGATTTCCATAAACTGTCCTTTATGTTTACAGAGATTTTAAGATTTGCTTCTTGTATAAGGTTTTAATGTATTGCTGACAGGAACTGCAAACTATACCAACATGTCTTGCTATAAATTTTGTATAATAAGAAAAACAATCTATAAATATTTAATTTAAACAGATGAGAATTTTATAATGAGTTTTGAATAATCATATCAGGAGAGTTACAATGTAACTTAAATACAACTAAGAAAAACAAACAGAGAGGATTTAATAATTTATTTTGGTTCCGTAAAATGATCATTAGGTTGTCAGTATTAATGGATATTTACTGTTCTAAATTTCCTGGTATAATGAATTAAACCTTCCGGATATTTTTTATAAGTAAGGATAATTTTCTTCTGGCAGTTCAATTTTGTTTTCTAGTGAGCTTGTTTAAAATTATAAATGATCCTACAGACTTCTTGTCATAATATTTTCCATAGTTTACAGATATTATCCATAAAGTATTTTAATTCCTATGTATTAATGTTAGTGATTATTACCAAAACCAAAAACCAAACCCAGTGCCATCGATTTGAATCCGACTCATGGCGACCCCTTCTTGGGTTTCCAAGGCAGTATCACTACGGAAGTAGATTGCCCAACCTTCCTTTCGAGGAGTGGATGATGGGTTTGAACTGCCAGAGTGATTATTACAGAAGAGTATTTTATAAGTGAAATAAACAGGTACTTCATATCATTAATGTAAACAGGTTACTTGGATCTACTGTTAATTATATTAATGTTTTAGGGACAGATTTGTGTGAAGTACTGTTTTAATCTTTGAGTCAAATCTGTTGCTGTGTTTCAGGAACCTTGCTCAGCAGTCTTGGGGTATGGGAAGAAGATTGATAAGTCCATTAAGAAAGGGCTTTATTGGTTGCTACATATCATTGCAAGAGACTTTGATGCTTTAAATGAACGCATCCAAAAAGATACAGCAGAACAACGTGCTCTTGAGGAGCAAGAGAAAAGAGAAAGGGCTGAACGAGTGCAAAAATTACGAGAAGAAAGGTAAGTAGATTAAATTTGTATCACACTGCATTTGACGAGTCCAAAAGTACCAGTTTTGTAAATAATTTGTAAGTTTTATCTATTCTGTTTCCTTCTTAGGCATGAAGGAAGACACTGAGTAAACATTTTTTATTCTTTGCATAGATTTTTTCTCTGCCCACAAGTTTGGGTTATATATTTCTAACGTTCTGGGTGGTAATGCAGGTAAATTTACTCATATGTATTTATTATTTCTCAGAGTTTTTTGGCTTCTCTTATTTCTTATGCGTATCTTTAGGTCAGTGATTTTTCAACTCACAATGAGATTTTGTTCCCTAATGGACATTTGGCAATGTCTGGAGATACTTTAATTGTAGTTAGGAGTTGGGGGATGCTAAAAGTATATAATGGGATGTTCCTAAATATCCATCCTTGCATACGACAGTCCCTCCACAATAAAGGAAGTTGCTTTGAATCTTTAGGTTTTTTGCTAGTGCATATTTTCATTTATTAAAAAGAAAATATGTGGCCATACCTTTTGAACATTCCTTTGCTTTTGTTTTACTAACCAAAAAAGCCAAACTCACTGCCATGGAGTAAGATATGACTTACAGTGACCCCTCCTTGGATTTCCAAGGCAGTATCTCTATGAAACTAGATTTCCCAATCTTCCTTCCAAGGAGTAGCTGGTGGATTTGAACTGCCAGCCTTGTGGTTAGCAGTCAAATGCCCTAGGTACTACTCCACCACCCTTGCTTTACCATTTAAGAAAATAAAAACTAAAATGAAACAAACAAAATTTTGACTTGGATAAAAGAAATCTAGCATTATTATTTATTTATTTATTTAAAGTTTGTACTTTTTTCCCATAATATCATTATTACTCTAAGAATATTGTAAGATATTCTAGATCATGTTATAGCTGACTTTTCCTGTACCCATTCTCTTTGCCTCCTTTCTACTTAGCTATGCCAGTCATGGTCTGAGGGCTTTGCTACTGAACAGATTCTCCATAATTCAAAGTAAATTAAATTTCTTCAATCCAGGCTGATTGGTTTATATATTCATTTGGTTTTTGAAAAAATATTATAATGGGCTGGTTTGTGAAAAATATATTGTTAACTAGATACCCGAAATTGATTGCTAACACAGTCACTCCTCGCTAATCCTCAGCATGATTGGATTCCAATGACTAGGTCATTATGCGAAAAGCAGAATTGTGCGAAAATGGGGGATGACTACAATAAATCACAAAATGGAGGATAACTACCTCAATACATCACTGCCAAATTACATCATTACATGATTGCCAGATTGGATCATTATGTAACTGCCAAAACACTGAGAATCGTGGTCCAGCCAAACTGACATATAACCTTAACCATCATAGCCAGTGTTATGCTTGCCTTATACCTTGGTATTCGTTACTGCCAGACCTATGTCATTAATGAATAAAATAGTTGGATAGTAGATTTTTTACTATTTTTGTAAATGCAAAATGTTAGATAATGACATATTAAGTAAGGAGTAGATGTAAATGAGTAGTAATATTAATAACAATGACTGTTCCATAAGTCTGTTCATTTACAGAGTGTTCCCATTTAATTACTTTATATGTGCAGTAGCCTTATGTGGTATATCATGTTAATGAATATTTATGCTACTACAGATATTACCAAGATATTTTCTTTAGTATACTTAAAATTTTGGCAGATGTACGATACTCATCTTTTTGTGTTCAGCTGCATAATTTGGCAACTTATCACACTTCACATTTAGGGCAACCTTAACTATAAATCACAGACAGGGGTAACTAGTATGGGAATGCTTGCTTAATCTGGCTAATATAAGGCAACATCTTCTGTTATGTAAAGCAACAGTTGTCATATCTAATTAAAATATGATAAAAAATTTGATAAATGGTTCCACTTTTTAATAGTAGTTTGTCATATACTTCATATAATCAATGTGTAGATGTTCCTGCTCCTTTATTTTTGTATAATAAATAAGAAACATGTTTGAACATGCTCAAGTATGAATAAAAACATAACTTTGAATTATAGAAATGTTCTTCCACTTGTACTTTTCAAGAGAAAGACCCTTAAGAAAAGGGTTAACAAGAGTATTTATCTCAGTACCAATGAAGAGATAGCATTAATTTTGGAGGGTAATTCATAAAAATAAGCCGGTGGCATGTGGGAAAATAATTAACATGAACTAATTGACTTTAGGGAGCTCTGGTAGTGTAGTGCCTAAGGCATTTGACTGCTAACCATCAGGCTAGCAACCACTCCTTCAAATTTACCAGTTACTCCTTGGAAAGAAGGTTGGGCAATCTACTTCTGTAATCATACCGCCTCGGAAACCCAAGGAGGGGTTGTTATGAGTTGGATCCGACATGATGGCAATGGAGTTTTTTTAAAATTGATGTTAAGAAGTTAGTAATAGTAAATGTCATTTTTGTCAGTATGTCTTTCTTCTAAAATTAAAATCTTGGTCCTTACATGGGAGTAAAGGTTTATAACTACATAAAAATTCCTGAAATATTCAGTAATTAAATGCCCTATCCACATGTTTAAATTACAGAGATTAATAGTTGTAAACGTCCTGAAAATTTTCCTAAGCATGGTTAAGTATTTTCTTATGTGGAATTCCAATTGTTTTTTTCTTCAAACAATAGAGAAGAAAAAGAACGAGATCAGGCTGATGGGAACAATGGTGTAGCTGAGTTGGACCCAGAGCCAATTATTGTTAATCCTTTCCAGCCGATAGCATCTGTGATCCTTGAGGTATGGTTGGTGGCAAATGTAATTTTTTTCATCTTAAGTTATAAAGTTAGAAGTTGGGAAAGGAGGCAAATAGTTGGAAAGAGGAGACTAGGTGATGGAAGTGTTTTGTCAGAGATAGATTCTTTCTGGAAGAAATTAAATGTGAGAGATGAGTTGTAGGTTTATTGCTTTTCTTCTTCAAATCTACCCTTGCTTGTGTGAAAATGGAAGGATTATTTAAGAATTAAATGAGAATGAAAATGATGATTGAATGTAACAGTTATAGTTAGTATTCTGATCAATCTCTTTTTGTCATTTACTTCATATGATAATAATACATTTACTCTTATTTACATTATCCTTGTCCCTGTAATTACTGTTACTATGCTTTTGCACTAATATTTAGGTGCTGATAATGCTTTAGAATATATAAATGATTTTATGTTTTCCTGAGATACTTAATAATGTTAAAAATTATACAATAAATTCTCTTGTATCTGAATAGCATTTACTTTGATTTTAATTGTCATAGATTTATAAATATTAATTTGGAGATTTTAATTATGAAGAAGTTAAATTTTGGGGGGGGTGAGTGTGTATGTATGTCTGTGTCTGTGTACCTGTGTCTTTCTCTCCACTATATCTGTTGGTGTATAGAGTTTGCATATTGGCCTTACTTTCATTGTAGCCAGAGCTGTGATTGGCTTAAATGCCTTTATTACTTAGTGATCATGACCTATTATTATATATGCCTACTCCTCAAAGGAGTGCTTTCCAAACCTCCTCTCCATTCACTCAGAGCTGAATGTGGTGGAGGCTGGCTTACTGGTCCTGCCTGTGTGTTCTCCATTCCTAGTGCCCCATCATTGCTTCCTTACACACAGGTGCTCATGTGAAAGGTAGATGTTTGTTTCTTCCTTGGGGCTGCTGCTGAGAAGGGAAGCAGCTCCATGGGTAAGAGGATGGTTGTATTATTTTTGGTATTGTTTTTATTTTATGAAATAATTGGTAACAGATATTTGGTCTTGCTTAGATACCCCAAAGTTGTATTTTTTTTTTTTTCCTTTTTATTAAATTTACTAGCCTAGTATGTTTACCTTAACTCTGTGCTTTTCTAAGTATAATAAAGCCGTCTTTATAGTATGAACTATTGTTTTATATACATCCAATCAAGTATTACATTTGTTGAATTTTGCTTTATGTTCTTTTTAAAATATTGGTAGAGAAGAAGGAAAACAAGTTTTACTTTTCATGGTGGAACATTTATTTATTCCATATGTAATAAAGCTTGACTGATAAATAATGACCAATTATCTTAGTATACCATGTGTATAAATTAATTAAAAGACCCTAATGCTTTCCCTTAGGAGCTCTGGTGGCATAGTGCGTAAGACATTTGACTGCTAACCGGAAGGCTGGCAGTTCAAAACCACCAGCCATTCCTCAGAAGGAAGGTTGGGCAATCTACTTCCGTAGTGATACCACCTCGGAAACAAAAGGAGGCATCTCTATGAGTCAGGTTCGACTAGATGGTGGTGAGTTTGGTTTTTTGGTTTAGAGGAAGGGAAATTTTTAAAGCAGGATAATCAAGGCATAAATCATTACTAAATAATGGATAGAACTTACTATATTCAAATTTTAAAGCTCAGTAAAGTTAAAAAGCAAAAATAAATAGGGAAGATATTTGAGACATATAGAATAAAGAAAAAGCCTTTGTGAGTTACTGTGAATATGAGAATTAATAGAAAAATGGGCATCAAGTTCCGCAAAGAAGAAGAAGAAAAAAGTAGTAGGCATATGTAATAATAGTTCATGATCACTAAGTAATAAGGGCATTTAAGTCAAAGCAAATGAAATCAAAACAGCATTTATATGAAAATAATTATAAGTTTATCGGAGAATAAAAAAATGGGTAATCATATGCAGCAGTGGAAAAGATAGAGGGAAATATCACTGCCCCAACGCTTTGGATAGGGTATAAATTAATTCATTCTTTCTGAAGGGAGGATTATGAATACATATTATGTTTTACAATGTGTTTACTCATTGATCCAACAATTCTACTGTTAGGAATTTATCCTAAAGAACTAATTGACCAATTGCATTTTTTTTATAGTAGTGAAAAATTAGAAATAATTTATTTGTCCATTTATATGGAATTGGTAAAATAAATTGCAGCCATTCAAAATGATAATGTAATTACATTCATTTTGTGTCACACACAATTCTAAGTATTTAATATTTTCATTGACATTGAATAAATATAAAACCAAAACCAAACTCACTGCCATCAAGTTAATTCCGACTTAAAGCAATCCCCTTTGAGTTTCCAAGGCAGTAAATCTGTATGAAAGTAGATTGCCCTGTCTTCCTTCTGTGGAGTGGCTGGTGGGTTTGAACTGCCAATCTTCTTGAATAAATATACATATTATTAAATAAAAATTTCATTTTTTGTTAAAAAACAAATGCATAAACATGTATGTATCGCTAGATAATTGCACATTCATGTGTATTTGTGGGTGATAGATGTCTGTGCGTGGGGTTAGGCAAAGAAAAAGAACTCTTAGAGATGATACAGCAAATCATGATCACCTCCAGAATGGAGTACTATTGATAATATTTGTATTCTTTATTCTTTCTGTATTTTCTAAATGTTTGGCAATTACATTTTTTAGTGATGTGGTCAATAAATCATTTTTAATAGACATATCACAGTGTCCTTTGAGTTACAGATGCTCTGAGATTATTTGATTTCTCCCTTAGCACTATCTTAGATATAACTGTTATAGTAAATATAATATACTTCATTTTTGTTAGAATGAAAAAAAACTTGAAAAAGAGAGAAAGAGGCAGAAGATGGAGAAAGACATCGATGGCTGCCGCCTGAAACATAAAGTGGAACATGAACAAATAGAGACCCAGAGCCAGATCAGTGACAGTAGCCAAAACAATGACTTTGGAACAGTAGAAAATTACAAGGAAGTGTTAACACAGCAGTTGGAGAATGAAGATGAGACAGACCAGCAGTCTTCAGAATCAGGTGTTAAATCTAGCTATTTTAAATATATAACATATATATATGTAATTTCTTTTATTATAATTATTTTCACACAAAAAATGTACATTTATTATTTTTTTGTCTTCAAATGAAGTATTGATCAGTATTTCTCCATGGTCTTTACTTACTTATTAGCCAATTTGCTGCTAACTTATATTTCATTCATAATGTTTTTGTAACTTAAAAGAATTTCAGTACAGATTTATAGCTTTGAAATCCTATAGGGGTCGCTCTGAGTTGGAATTGACTCACTGGCAGTGGGTATAATTTTTTGTTTTGAAAACAAAACATAAGTAATAATGTAATAATGTCCCTCCTGAGTATGTCCCTGTTTTTTCTTTGATGATCTTCATGGTTTTAGGTTTAACATATAGATCTTTGAGCCATCCTGAGTTTGTTTTTGTATATGGTGTGAGATATGGATCCTTTTCCATTTTTCTGCAAAACGGGTATTCAATTTTGTCCAGCAGTATGTGTTAAAGAGACTATTTCTTCCCTATTTAATGGATTTCAGCCCCTTGTCAAAGATCAGCTATCCATATATGAATGGTTTTACTTTGGGTTCTCAATTCTGTTCCATTGGACTATGTATCTGTCCTTATACCAGACTAGGCTGTTTTGACTACTGTTGCTTGTGTAGTAGGTTTTGAGATCAGGAAAAGTGAGGCCTCCTATTTTCTTCTTCTTCTTTAGTAGTGTTTTGCCTATCTGGGGTCTCTTTCCATTCCATATAAAGTTGGTGATTCTGGATCATTATTGCATTATATCTGTAGATCACTTTGTGTAGTTTTTACATTTTCACAATGTTAAGTCTTCCTATCCATGAGCATGGGATATTCTAACATTTATGTTGGTGTCTCTTGGTCTCTTGTAATAGTGTTTTGTAGTTTTCTTTGTAAAGGTCTTTTGTGTCTCTAGTTAGATCTCTTCCTAAGTACTTCATCTTTAGGATGGTTACTATAAATGGTACTGTTTTCCTGATTTCCTTTTCAGATTTCTTTTTGTTAGTATAGAGGAATCAAACTGATTTTTGTATGTTGATCTTGTGCCCAGACACTTTGCTGAATCTTTAAATTAATTCCAGTAATTTTCTTGCTGAGTCTCTGGAATTTTGCATGTATATGATCATATCCTCTGGAAATAGAGAACCTTTTACTTCTTTGCCAATTTGGATGCCTTTTATTTTCCTTTCTGGCTTATTGCTCTATGTGAGACTTTCAACACAATATATTGAAGTAGTAGTCTGAGACAGGGCATGCTTTCCTAGTTCCCATTTGCAATGGGAATGCTTTCAGTGTTTCTCCATTGAGACTAATGTTGGCTGTTGGTTTTGTGCATACACCCTTAAATATGTTGAGGAATTTCCCTTCTATTCCTTTTTCTTTTTTTTTTTTCTGTTTGAGTGTTTTTTATCAGGAAAGGGTATTGTATTTTGTCAAAAGCCTTTTCTGCATCAGTTGATACAATCATATGATGTGGTTCTTTTCCATTATTTAATTTATGTGGTGGATTATGTTGATTATTTTTTCTACCATCCTTGTATACCTTATATGAATCCCATTTGGTCATGATGTACTATTTTTTTTTGATATGTTGTTAGATTTTCTTGGCTAGGATTTTGTTAAGAATTTTTGTGTCTGTGTTCCTGAGGGATATTTGTTTATAATTTCCTTTTTTAGTGGTATTGCTATCAGGTTTATGCTTGCTTCATAGAATAAGTTTGAGAGTATTCCTTCCCTTTCTATATTCTGGAATAGTTTTAGGAGAATTGGTGTGAACTCTTCTCTGAATGTTTGATAAAATTTGTTAGTGAAGTCATTTGCACCAGGAGTTTTGTTGTGGTTCAGAGTTTTTGTGTGACCTGTTCAGTTTCTTCTTTTGTGCTGGGTCTGTTCAGATTTTCTATGTCAGTCTGTGTTAGTTTAGGTAGGTAGGTAGTGCATTTCTAGAAATTTGTTCATTTCTTCTAGGTTTTCAAATTTGTTGAAGTGCAGTTTTTCAGACTTGTGGTGGTTAAGTTTGTGCATCAACTTGGCTGGGCCTGCTTGAATGGCTGGGCAGCTGGTGGTAGTTATTCCCCCATGATGAGACTGGCAATCAACTCCATGTGTGACCTACCTACCACAAGCAGCTGAATAGCTGCTTTAGGGATGTAGTCCACTTCCCGTATATAAGAAACAGCTTTGGGAATGGTCTCTAGCTTATGGCACTCTTGAACCCTGCATGTAACTGTGTAGTTGTTCAGCAGCCTACTACGCTCTGCCAACCTTGGAACTTTCAATGGGCTTGAATTAATGGTCTGCTGTGGTTTGGTAACTTCAGGACTGTGCCAGTTTATTTGTCGACTTTGGTTAGCCTCAGCAGCCAGTAGCTGCCTGAGTGAAAAGATGCCTCTAGCTTCAGTGGGCTGGGAGCAAGAGGCAGAGCTGAAGCCCAAAGTTGAGGGGCTTTCACACAGCCCCTAGAGCCTGGCACTATGAACTTGGACTTCTAGCCTCCCAAACTGTAAGAGAATAAACTCCTGTTTGTTCAAGCCATCCCATTTGTGGTATATTCTTATCAGAGTGGCACTAGGTAACCAGAATAAGAGTACTCTAGTTGGTTGGTTTTTTTAAATTATACTTTAGGTGCAGATTTACAGAACAGAGTTTGTTTTACATTTACCATTTAATGTACATTTGGTTTCACTCCCCAATTACCATCCCCAACCCTAACCCAGTCTCTTCCCCTCCTTGCCCAGTAAGCTCCCCTCCCCGTGACCCTCAGGGTTATGCATTCCTGTGTGTCCTACGTTTCCTCTGTGCGAATGTTGTCCCTCTGGTGCCCTGTAGTTGATTGCTCCAAGGGATGTATCTCCATAGAGTATGTGGGTGCATCACCCTGGGTTGAGTGGTCTGTGTGTACACCTTGATTACTGTTGGGCTGAGAGCAAGCACTGGGAGTGAATTTTATTCCAAGCCTGAAGTATATCCCAGGGCCATAGTATTAGAGGGTCCCACCAAACTCCATCTGACCAGTAATTCTGGTCATTGTTGTGTTTTTGGATTTTATTCCACATTTCTCCTCCCACTCTATCCAGGATCTCCAGTTTTGATCCTTTCTTGAGTGATTGGCCTTGGTAGCTGGGCACCATCTAGTTCTTCTGGTCTCAAGGTCCATCATGTCCTAGAACTGATTGCTTCTAAATGTCCTTGGTGTTTTTGTTTTATTTTTTAGCACTCTTCTTCGCTTCCGATGATAGGAGATTATTAGCTGCGTCTTAGATGGCTACTTGGAAGCTTTTAAGACCCCCGTCCATACTCACCAACAAGGTTGTGGAACAAGGTTTTTCTATATTTTATTGTGCCAATTGAGTCTGGTGCCCCCCAGTACTATTATCCTGAGTGGGTAGATTTATTGGATCTCTCTCTCACAGTGTCTGGCTGGCTGTGAGGGATTGCTCTATGTCTGTCTTATATTGTTTCTGTAAGGATTGCAGGTATTTTGTATCATTGGTATCTGTGCAAGATTAGCCTCAGCTGAATTTATCCTTGGTCTAGAGTATAATCCTGTTCACTGATCCCCATCTGATCTTCTCAGATGTTTATGTGTTTATCTGTAGCCTGGTGTTTGGTGTTAATGGTAATACAGTATTGTGGATATAGTGGTATTAGCCTCTGTCATTTATATCTTATATGCACAGTTCTGTGTCCTCCCTTTTCCTAATGTTATCTATACCATCCCTCCCCTTACCCATGTCAGCGTGTGGCCCCCAACTAGCACAAAATTAATTTCTTCCCTTCTGTCCCCACCCGGGTAACCTACAAAGTGAGTTCCGTTCTGTGGTAGTTAAGTTAGTGTGTCAACTTGGCTGGGCCTGGTTGAATGGCTGGGCAGCTGGTGGTAGTTATTCTCTATGATGAGACTGTCAGTCAACTCCATGGTGGGATCTACCACAAGCAGCTAAATAGCTGCTTTGGGTATGTGGTCTGCTTCCTGTATATGAGAAGCATCTTTGGGAATGGTCTCTAGCTTATGGTGTGCTTGGACCCTGCATTTAGCCGTGTCATCATTCAGCAGCCTGCCATGCTCTGTTGACCTTGGGACTTACAATGGGCTTGAATTAATGTCCTGCTGTGTGTTTTGGTAACATCAGGACTGTGCCAGTTTATTTGTTGACTTTGGGCTTGTTAGCCTCAGCAGCCAGTAGCTGTCTGAGTGAAGAAAAGCCTCTAGCTTCAGTGGGCCAGGATCAAGAGGCAAAGCTGAAGCCCAGAGTCGAGGGGCTTTCACCCAGCCCCTAGAACCTGGCACTTTGAACTCAGACTTCTAGCCTCCCAAACTGTAAGAGAATAAACTCCTGTTTGTTAAGGCCATCCCGTTTGTGGTATATTCTTGTCAGAGCAGTATTAAGTAACCAAAACACCTTCCTTAAGCAAACCCTTCTTTGTCTTTTCACAGTAATGGGCTCATACAATATTTGTCCTTCTGTGATTTACTTATTTCACTCAACATAATGTCCTCCAGCCTCATCCATGTTGTGAGATGATTTGCATATCCTTCATCATTCTTTAATGTAGCATAGTATTCCATTGTGTGAATGTACCTTAATTTGGTTATCCATTCATCCATTGATGGGCATTTAGGTTGTTACCATCTCTTTGCTATAGTGAAGTGTGCTGTGATGAACATGTTGTTGTTATGTGCCATCGAGTCAGACCCAAACTCATAGCCACCCCTCTGGGTTTCCAAGGTGGTGTCACTACAGAAGTAGATTGCCCAACCTTCCTTCCGAGGAGTGGCTGGTGGGTTTGAACCGCCAACCTTCTGGTTAGCAGTCAAGTGCCTTAGGCACTATG